TGTATTCTCAAGAATTCAGTGAAACAGGAAATCAACAACGTTTTGAGGATGGGACGATAATTCGTCAAACAGTTCATTTTGTATCATAATGTAATTGATGTGAATCATGTAAACATATACTTTGATGTAACCTTTTCAATTATATTTGTGATGGTTGTATTTACTTTGAGCACTTTTATACTCGTTGTTGTGATACTTTACATGAAGTCCTCCATCCCCGGGCGTTTCCGCCGTCCTTGGTTTGGGGGTGTGACATATAAATGAAAGGTGTAGAGTACGTCTGCACCTACGCGTGGATATAAAGAACGTAAAAAACATAGCTCGTATGCAAAAGTTATGATCTTCCGAAGATGTAGCTGTCTGAGAGTGTGACACATGGCAGAAACCCTAATCTTTCAGGGCTTACGACGTGAGCATGTTTTCTCACGAGGTGAAGAGTCAAACGAACACTAATCGAGGCTAGAAAACACCTGGAAGGCTATGGGATGAATCTTGGAAGCTCACGACTTGAGCATATCATTCTCATGACGTGAGAAGTCATCCAGACACCTTTCGAAGCTATAAATGCATATGGCAAGTCTACGAGATGATACAACCATGGCTAATCGAGGCTAGAAAACACCTGGAAGGCTATGGGATGACTCTTGGAAGCTCACGACTTAAGCATATCATTCTCATGATGTGAGAAGTCATCCAGACACCTTTCGAAGCTATAAATGCATATGGCAAGTCTACGAGATGATACAATCATGGCTCACAACATGAGCATTGATTCTCACGATGTGAGAGAGCCAAAAACACCCTATAAATTACAAGTTCGACTCTTTCATTCCTTACACCAAATTCTTTTCTCTCTCTCTCTCTCTCTCTCTCTCATTTGCCGAAAGCCGTTTCCCATCCTGAGCCCGATGATCACCAACCACTGATCGTTTCTAGTTAGATTCTATCCAATCACGCTACTAATGTGAATGCATAGTCCCTTTCAAGAACATGATTTTAATACAAGTATTGATTAAAGTATTAAATATATGTGTGAAATATTTGTTATTGCCTGAAATACGTATTAAGAGCATATCTGATAATATATGATGATTTAGGATAGAGAGTAAACCTAAATTAATTAAGAGGAATATTGGGTAGTATCCTCTTATGAGTACGAGTGAGATATACACGGAGGGTAGAACTTTAAAATATGTCATTAAACCGAGAGCATGGATTAGACATAGTTATTCGTCCCTAGTCCGAGAGTATGGATCGGGCATAGTCATTTGTCATTGATCTGATAGTACGGATTAGACTTAGTCAGTTGTCCTTAGTCCGAGAGTATAGATAGGCATAGTTATTTTTCATTAATCCAGGAGTATAGATTAGGTAAAGAGTTAATTTTAGTTCCGAGAGTATAAATCGTGTCGTTGTGAGGATCGATGGGGTGGAGTAAAGTTGCTTATATATGGTGAAATTGTATATTTAATGAGTTCTAATATATATATATATATATATATATATATATATATATATATGTATGTATATATATATGTATATATATATATGTATATATATATATATATATATATATGTATGTATATATATATATATATATATATATAACATTGTGGGATTGAAGTCCCTTTGTACTCATCAGGTTTCCCAACGTGACCCACTCAGCTTATTTGTATCACATGTGTCGATATGAAACTAAATTACACTGAGAGATTAAAATAGATGTAGATCACTAGTATAAATGAATGTAAGGTTTGTTTATGGTTATGTTTATGTATTGACAATGACATCCCAAAGTTTTTAATATAAACAAAATACATTTTTCGAAAATGCTTTGATAATATATTTATCATGTTTTTCCGGGAACAAATTCCGCAATATTTTTCTTTAAAATAATACTCAGATTTTTAAAATAAAGCTTAAACAAATCGGTATTTTCTAACCGTAAATTTGGGGATGTCACAATATAACTCAAGTTTAAGAAATGGGTAATAAATATATTAAAGCTTAAATTTCAGGTGTTACATACAAAAGAAAAATAAAGGTAAAGAAGAAGGATGTTTTGCTACTCTTGATGAACAAGGGAGATAAGATAACAAAATATGATAGTTGTTGGTGTTACTCCCACTTGCAACTTCATGAATCCAAAGAAAAAAAGCATTAGAATTGGATTTCATAAAAGATACTCTCATAGAATGACTTTCTCACAAAATATATCCTAATTCTTTCTTAAAGAATTATCCAAGAATGTTTTTAAGATTCTTTTTTTGATGTAATAATTTTGACAATATTTCAAATCTCGTTCTTAGAAGAATGACATTTTTTTCATTTTATTCTGTTAGAATTTTTATAAATGTACAAAAACATATAAATCTATTAAGAAGAAGATATTATTGATCACCTAGAATTCTCGCATAACATTTGTTAGAATATCATTCTGACATAATAAAATCGGATAAAATAAAATTTACGTTAGATTTAAAATCGAATTAATTTTAAAAAATCAGAATTTCAAATTAAAAAGTCAAATATCGCTTAAAATCCAAATATTTCATTAATTAAACTTATGTTTCCTAATTGGAATGTAATATGAATGTACAATATTACCCTTTTTATAATTAAATGGCGAATATTCTATTTTTTTTTAATTTAATAATATAAATAAATCACTTTCTTTGATCCACATTCATCCTTACATCCATACAATATATATTATTTTTTTGAAAAAAAAAAAAGTTAATTTGAGTCATATATAAATTAATTTAAAGAGTAGGTTAAAAAGTATACGAGTGTATGATTCATTTATAAGATGTGGATTTTCGGTTTGGATACCGGCAAGAAGGTTTACACTTTCATGTCGTGTGCAGGTCCAATTTTTTGTATTGAAAGTTGGAGTGGACGAGTTTGCATGATCATCAAGGTGGAGATTTTGGGTTAAGTCTGACAATCAAGTGGAAGATTTTTCTAAATAAGGGATGTTGATAAAATGACTTTTGACTCGCAATACGCTTACATGTAGTTATGACCATTTTTCGTTCTAGGTTCATCCACAATTTTTTTTCTACATTTTGGTGTTTCTGGAGAGTACTCCCCTTTTTTAGGTCAACATCTAATCCTTTCTGTGGAGTTTATTTCAAATCGCACTTTGATTACCATCCGACAATATCAAGTGGAAAGCTTGTTGGATCCATTCTCCCCGGCAGCGTTGGTTTTTGTCTAAAATTACCCAAATTTAATTTCCATCGGTTTCAACCCCACTATTTATAAGGATTATATTAGCATATTTAACTAATGTAGTTTCTTAAATATAAGAGAAATTTACATTATAAAGGTGACAGTCGAATTATTATACCTCTATAAACAAAATTAAATATTTAACTGATAAACACTAGAAAACAATGAAATATAACATGCTAAAATTGGACTCTTACCAACCGAGATATATGGATTAGAAATTTAGAATGAAATATAACATGCTAAAATTGGACTCTTACCAACCGAGATATATGGATAAGAGTGGTGAAGGTTGATATATAATAAAGTATAATAAAAATAACAAACGAAAACAAATAAAGATAAAATTGTCTTAAATTTTTATCTTACAATACCTTAACATCCTATTTCTAACCTTATAAATTGGTGGGATCAAAGCCACCACAAAAATAAAACCACGTACAAACACTCTAATCTCTATAACTAACTTAATACTTACCATAGCATATAGGTTCAATTTACGAATGGAACCATTTTTGTAATTCACACTTTAAGTGACTGACAAACTTGGGAAAAAAAATAGATAGACGTCGGCAACGTAACCAAAAAAAAATAATAATAATAACAAAAGTAGACTTATTGCTACTTTATTAAACGGCAACAACATCTGAACCTAAGAGTACATTTATTGCTAGTTTGTAATGAAGTAATCAAAGGGAGGTAGAGTCCACATGTTTCCTGACAATGTGACCGCTTCATATAGTTTACCTCCGATATATGTCTTCATTTCTAGTTTATTAAAGAAAAAACCAAAACTAAATACATACTTTCATCTAATTTCATCGATACATCATATGTCGGAAAGAGACGATGAGAAAACTGGTATACTTTGTGGGCGCCTAAAGAAATTTTCCGGATCAACTTTTGCCTTGATTCGAATCAACCTCTTGAAATTATCCCTCTTCCAGTACCTCTCGCCCCAAACACTTGCTTCTTGATAATTAGCATTTCCAACACCAAAATCAAGATCGTTATAGTTCGAATACGCCTCCCTTGGGTTCTTTGACACATAAGGTGTCAATAATTCTTCTAAGCTTCGCAACCAAGATAACCTCCGAAGCGAGGTAGGGGTTGTGTCCGAAGCTTGACCGTTAAAATTGACAGTCTTGAGAACTTGTAACAATACCCCAGCTCTATGAGGATATGGAATTGCTGTCTCAGAGTAATCAGCCATCCTTCCTCCAAAAGGATTGATCATTAGAAGCGCTGATTCATCATTTTCCATAAACTTTTTCCAAAGCTTTTTTAGCCCGCTAATGGGAATAGGTTTTCGGATATAGTCTGATTTACTTTTGTTGTTGAGCTTGGCTATGGCAGACCGGTTGGTGAGAATCTCGGTCGGGAGGGAGCTCGGAAAGCCCCAAAACACAAGGGTCGACTGGATCATCTTAATTTCTTCACAAATCTCTCGTGTAACACCGAGCTCCGGAAACTTTTCGTCCAACAATGGAAGCAATGTGTCGGTAGTGCCTTGGTAAATTCCTTCGAACATAATATTGACGGTTTTCTTGGTAGTGTTGCCGATATATATCTCGAACACCTGTGTTCTTATATGTAAATTTCTATCAATAGCTGGTATAACGGTTTGATATTTATGGAAGATTTCGGTTGCCCCTTGTTCCAAAGTTTTATTCAGTATAAAGACTGTTACTTTTTCTGGAACAGGAACCAACCTCAGCTTCCATGCAAGAACGATTCCGAAACTTGAAACACCACCACCTCGAATAGCCCAAAACAAATCTTCGCCCATGGATTTCCTGTCAAGAATGTTTCCGTTGACATCCATGAAGCGAGCATCAATAACATTATCAGCAGCAGTACCATATTTCCTCAACAGGTTTCCATAGCCAGCACCACCCATGTATCCGCCAACACCCACCGTGGGGCAAACTCCTGCCGGGAAATACAAGGTGTCGGTTTTCTGAGAAATAGCGTAATAGACTTCACCAAGCACAGCGCCCGCCTGGACCCACGCAGTACTGTTTGCTACATCCACGTCGATAGACCTCATGTTGGTGAAATCAAGCATAACAAAGGGAGCATCAGCAGTGTACGAGAGGCCCTCGTAGTCATGTCCCCCGCTCCTGATTCTAAGCTCGTAGCCATGTTCCTTGGCACAGAGAAGAGTTGTTTGGATCAGTGTTTCTTCCACAGGCGTAACGATGACTGATGGCCTACGAGTGGAAGGTTTAAGGAATCTAGTGTTTTGGACTGCAGCTTGCCAAATGGGTAGGAAAGAAGCATTGGCAGAGGTAAAAGTGAGTTGAGAGACGCTGACATTATTGGAGTTGGATTTTATGCAGCTTATGAAATCTTCAGAACCTGGTGTAGCATCAAGAATAGAAGATAAGGCTGCCCAGGAAGTAGAAAAGGAAAGAGTTAAAACGAAGATGAAGACAGAAGACTTTGGAAGAGACTTCTTCATGTTTTGATGAGTTTGGTTCATGGTGCTGTGTGCCCTGCCATATTTATATAGAGTAAATAGTGTAGAAGGGACTGCAAGTGGGGCTATAAATAGGTGGATGGGAAAAGGAAATTCAATTCACTCTTCAATTCTGTTGGACTCTTGGAAATGCATTGATTGACAGTTTGACACGTGAGTTTTGTTTTATTAGTTTTCTTTATCCTCTTCGATGATCAGATAGATATTCACTGACTTTGCATATATGAAATTTAGCATATGGTTGGGAAAGAGATTTTCCATACATCGCATACCAAAAATAGTAAAATATGACAATATTCCAAGTTTCCAACATTTTCAGCGTTGGAAATTTAATATATATATCATTCGATTGACCTAGTTTGTTTATCGTTTAGACACGCTAGTTTGATCCAAAATCAGACCGTAAATGATAAATGAACTTATGATCATTTAATACCGTTTTGATCCAAAATTCATATTCATTTTCTATAATTTTTTTCAATTTTGTAATTTTAAAAAAAAAGTAAAATAACATGTGTTGAATGGTATATTCTCATTACCTTGTAATCCCAATCTTTTTTTTTTTTTAAAGCTAAACTTGAATTAAAAACAGCAAGAACTTGGAATTACATGGTACAATACAATGGGTTTTCAACCCAAGAGTTCCAGATCAAATTCCTACTCCATTTCACTCGTACTCTTAATCCATGAAAAGGCCAAAGCCTTGACATCATAAGCTAAAACTAACGGATACTTGACCTTAGTATTGGTGTTCAAGATCATGTCATTCATGTCATTCCTATATATCCATATAGTCCATAAGAATGCTCTTGATATCGCTTCTAAGGTGTCTAAAGACCTATTTCCCACCTTTATAGTAGAGTTTACCCCCAAGGCCCCAACAAGTGTTCTAAGGAGTCCATTAGGGTAGGAAAATCATTCCACCAAGTTTGTATATGCCCTTGAATCTCCAGTGTCATAGAACACTTCTTGAATATGTGTACCTCTTTCTCTTCGAAAGCATTGCATAAAGGACAAAAGGTGTTAAGAATGTTTATTCTTCTCCGTGGAAGATTTAATCTGGTGGGACAATATGCCAAGTCTCACCCGCCATATGAAGATATTTATTTTCCCTAGAACCACCTTGGACCAAATGGTTGGCAAGTTCGTACTCTTGAGTAGTTGAATGTCGATTTCCTTTCTTAAAGTAGAGACTGTATACTCCCCTCCTCCATTAAGACTCAATCCCCAGTTATTTGTGATAATAGTACCCGCCGTGTCAACATTCCTGTAAAAAAAGATTATTTAAATCTAAGTTGTATTGTTCTAAATCAATGTTGACTTTGCTAATTCTTCCCCAAACTATGTTCCTACTAAGCTAACAAACAAACTTATGGGCAAGTGTACATATACAATAACAAATTCCACATAGTTTTGTCGGGATAGAGCTTTCAAACACTGAACTGATTTTAAGGTTAAAAGAGTGTAGATGAGAGACCCTTCGTAAAGATGTCCACATACATGCATTGAGGTAGGAACATGAAAAACCCAAACTAAGCTTGGGGCAACCTGATCCTGAACAAAATGAATGTTTATCTCTATATGTTTGGTACATTGTTGTTGGATTTGATTTGAATACATGTAACTTATAATGATTATGTCATATTAAGCGATGGTTATTATGGGAGGCAGACAAAGGAGCTCTCGAAGGAGATTATGAATCCAAGAAGTCTCAAAAACTATGTTTGCCACCCCTCTCCCTTCACCCGTATTCATAATCAACACTGAAGTGATAAATGACTCCTTCTTGGTTAGAAGAACAAAGTGCTAGAATTTAGGGATTTTGAATGACAATATAACTTGGATGTTTCAAGGATTGTGATTGTATCACTTTTTGAAAACTATAATTCATCCTTATAGTATGGAGTACACGAATTCAAAAGTGGGATAATCCACAAACTTCAATTTTAATTACAGGTCTAATATGAGTTAGAAACATTGAATACATATTGTGATATGTTTTTAGAGAGACACATAGATGCTAATAATCAAATTTCCAGTATGAAAGTTGTAACCCCTATTCTGGAACATCCATCTTCATTTACATAACGAAAAAGGTGGTTAAATGATGGTTACACACCAAATCAGTGACAAAAAGGTTGTTTGCGGGTAATTATGTTGGGCTTCAACAAAAAAAAAAGTTAAACAACTTCAAACAAAACAATAAATGATTTCGGTAACACGCATGGAATATAACTACTGAAAAATGAAAACTAAAAACTGTAAATTCGAAACACGATATTTCTAAATAATAACAAAGTTCTTTTGAGTTTACCTCATGACACATATAACATTAAGGAAATAGATAAAAACAAGTTGTTAATTTATTAAAGAATTAATAAATCAATTAGATTTTTTTGATAATTAATTAAATTGTTTTTAATTACTTTTAAGAGTTGAATGTTAATTAGAGGATTTCTGCTTATCCTGATAAGAATAAGACACGTTTTGGATAAGGTAAGGATTATCCTTTAGGAATCCGAATTGCATAAGGATTAATTAGTTTCCAAAAAATAGGGAGTTGTAGATCAAACCCTATATGCTTTTTCCTTTTCAAATTCGTTCTCCCTTCTCCCGTCTCTTTCTCTCTCTCTCTAGACATAAATTATACCCTTTCTTTGGGGTTAATGAGTTTTCGACACTAAACCTAGTTAGGGTTTATTTCTTGTTTGCTGTTGGAGTCTTGGGTATGACTACATTAGAGGAGTTCTACTTTGGGCTCTTTATCCATTGCAAGGTTGTCAATCACATAATTTAAGGATCGATAGGTAATATTCCTAATTCTTTTAGTAGATTTTGAAGTAAGTTGCTAAAACTAGTAAAACCTATATTCTAGGATGTATGTGCACTTAGGTAAATCTGATGATTATTCTGCTACAGTAAGATAGTGTAATTGATGTAATAAATCCCCAACAGTGGTATCATAGCTAATAGGTTTTAGGTTTTGATACTACTTGGTAAAAATTTGAAAACCGGAAGTGTTGTAACGTTATTCCACGGATGAGATACAACGCTTGGCATGAGATATTCGTCGGGAACCTACAGATTTAGTCAGATGACACGTTACTCGTGTCCCGGGAGGAGGTCCCAGGAAGGGACTCCATGTAACACTTGGTTCAAGTATTATTCAATTTTCAGCATTTTAGGGTTTGGACTGGAACTCGACGAGTTGGGAAGCTCCAACTCGTTGTGTATGAATCCATTTGGCAGCGGAGTTTAAGGATCCAACTCGACGACTTGATGCTGGGAACGAAAACCCAAATTTTTTCGGGTGTTGCACCCTATTTAAAGAACTTAACTTCTAGGTTTGGCCTCTTTACCAGCCTCTTTGTCTAGAAGGAACCATAAATCGTCTTTCCCGTTGTGCATTAAGTTTTAGAGTGATTGTTGGAGATTTTGAAGGGAGTTTTTAAGAAGGAAGTATCAAGCATGGAAGAGAGATCTTGGATCTAGAAACTCTACATCAAAGGCTGCATCTTGGAGGTATAAAGTCATAACCTTGACATGTAGCTTATTAGATCTCATCTTTTGTAGTTTTGTGCTTGGTTTTGGGAATTTGGCTTGGATGTCCAAAGAAAAGCGGTTTCCAGAGTTTGAGCATGTAGATGTGGCCTCTATAAGACCTCTAGAGGACTAAAGTTGCAAAATTTAATAGCCTCCATGTCCTACTCATGCAATATGTCCATTATAAAGCCAAAAATGAACCTTAGAGGGTGTTTCTAGCATGCATGGATGTAAAGTTTGAAACTTTACATGATTAAACCACCTTAGGACCTCAAATCGGTAATATGAAATGTTGAAGCAAGGGTTAGAGGCTTAATGGGTCAAAACCATCCTTAAAGGAGCTAGGCTTTGGGTATAAAGCTTATTAGATGATCTTTGGGGGTAAACTTGGAAACTTTACCCTTCTAGACGTCTCTCTGTTAGGTATCTAAAGTGTGGAACCTTTGGATTCGAGAAACAGGACTAAATGCATTAAGTGTGTTGACAGAGCGAGGAACTCGACAAGTTCACAAGGGAACTTGGCGAGTTGGGTTGGAGTTACCTCGATTCTGTTAAACGAAGGAACTCGGCGTGTTGTAAGATAACTCGATGATTCGGATCGTAACATCGCAATTATGGCTTTGGGATGGACTCGATGAGTTACAGGGATAACTCAACACGTCAGGTTAACTCGAAGCATTGACTTTGACCTTGACTAGGGATGAATTTTAAGGGGTTTGAAGGGTTGAGTTGTATCTAAGGAATTGTTATGATTAAGGAGGTGGTAGAGTTGATACTCGGAGTTTGGACCTACTCAGCTACAGTTTGCATTTGAGGTGAGTCTCCTCACCATACCAATGGGTCGAAGGCACCAAGGCTGACCCATGTTATTTAGTTGGGATGTTGATTGCATACGTGCTATTAGTGTGTTAGGTATTATGTGGAAACCATCTGGAGGTTCCCATGGCAGTGGACTAAGACCATGTGGGGGTTCCAATGGCATTCGGTGTAAGGCCTTAGAGGGTTTCCATGGCAACCTTGTATGTTTTCATGTTTAGCTTGTATGATATTTCCTTGGTTAGTTAAGACCATGTGGGGTTCCTATGGCAGGTAGTGAAGACCATGTGGGGTTCCCATGCTAGTTAATGAAGACCATGTGGGGTTCCCATGCTAGTTAATGAAGACCATGTGGGGGTTCCTATGGCAGGTAATGAAGACCATGTAGGGGTTCCCATGGTAGTGGGTTAAGACCACGTGGGTGTTCCAGTGGACCCGGTGTAAGACCTTGGAGGGTTTCCATGGCATCCTTATATGTTTATATGGATAGCTTATGTAGCTTATATGGTTGATATGGTTTATGTGATTATGTGGATTGTGTAGGGTATGTTATGGGGAACTCACTAAGCTTTAGCTTACAGTTTGTTGGTTGTTTCAGGTACTTCAAGATCTAAGGGCAAGAGCCCGACGTGATGGCGCGACAT